TTTCAAACCTCCCCTTTCTACTACGCCTGGAAGCGTGATATCCCCGTCGAACCCATCTTCAAGATCGTCGTCGGCATAATCCAGGCCATTGGTTAGAATTTTCCACTCTGGTTTTTCAAACTAGGACGAGAAACTAACTGCATTTCATTTTTACATCAATGAATGATTATCCACTTGACTCCGGGCGGTTTGAGCGGCCGGAGCTTCCGATGATGGCGGCGACAGTAGCTTGGATGGTGATATTTCAAGGCTTGCTTGAAAAACACTATTCATACATTCAACTATGGTGAATTGCAATTTTTATCTGCCATTCCCATAAGTGAGGGGTCGAATCTGGGCAGGTCGGGATTTTAGGGCACCCCTTTAAAAGCAAACCTAATGGAACGGAACAGAAAGGATATGACCACCGTACACGAAAGTCCGACATTACTGATTGAGCAATTCCAAAGCAAGATAGTTCTTTAATAAAAATAACTCATGAGCTCGCTTCTTCGTCAACTGAGTTATTTCAAGCTCGGCTAAATGTTGCGATCGGTTTGTGGAGCTTTTCGGTTGTCAGTCTTATACAGTCAACTCTAGTTAATCCGGACTCGAGGGGACTGGTGATTTTGTCCGGATTAACGGCTCATCCGGATGATCGAGTACCTGCCGAGTGACCATTCATTTTTCTTCTTGTTTCCTGAAAAAGTAAACTGCACCTAATATGTGCAAAGTAGGCCTTCATTGTTTGCAGGGGAATAGGAAAACTTGGACTCTGTTCTTTCGATCTGTCAGGACTCATGCATCCTCAAAGCGTGCGCTTCGCATTCGTTCCGGGAAAGGGACACCAGCTAGGACAGCACCCTGTTCGAGTTCATCGCGACACTTCTATATATCCTATGTCCCACACTGTCGATGTTGGAATATTCAAATCACGTGCTCTCGCAACTTGTCTTTCAACTAAGGCCTAGTCCACACCAGAAATTTTTCTTGCATATGTGATCTAAGAATGCTGCAAAATAAGATTTTGGAAAGAAACCTTCCGAAGGAATCTCCCAGAGCATTGAAAATCTTGCATATAAAACTTTCAAAGACGTCCTCACCAGGAAAGCTTCCTTTGAAAATAAATATAGCATAGAAAACTTTCTGGCGTGGACGAGGTCTGATAGCTTCAAAACTTCCAATTCCTCCTCCCGTGTGGGATCACGCCGAGAACACTTACCCATAAAGGGAGGTAAAAAACTTCTCGTGCCTCTAATGGTAAGAACAGGTTAGACTGAGAAAGGATGTGTGACACGACAATGAAAAGAGCGCTTCTCATAACTTGATTCCAGGAAATTGGGGAGATCGAACAATTTCTTTTTATTTATTTATTTATTTTAAATCCAAGGGTGAAGGAAAGAGAAGACGTGGGAAAAAGACAGGGAAATCTATTATTTTCTGTTGTATCATATGTATTTTGCTGGAAAGTCCGGATTAACGGGGGGGAATGTCTCAGGGGATAAGAAAACACTTCCGGATAAACGGAAAATAAGGAATAACGACGTCCTGATTAAAAGGAGAATATTGTTATTGGTTCTATGAGATTTTTGCCGGGAACATTCTTCATGTTCGAATTAACGGGAGATCCGGATTACTAGCGTTCGGATTAACGAGAGTTGACTGTGTATGTGCTCTATTGGGCTGCACTGTCTGAAATTTTCAGTTTTGATACTTCCTGCTCGTCTGCTCCCATTTTTTAAAAATGAATACTCACATAATATAATACTCGTGGGTTGTTTGACCCATTTGACTCATTTTGATTCCAAAATACCCGAACCAAGGACTAGATTTTTATTTTATTTGCTCCACAGATGGAATGTAGGCTTAGGCCTAAAAGTGATAGAATCTTAAAGGCCAACCAATCCGACGACTCATTCCCCTGCCATGTCTGGGAATATAATCCAATTGGAGCTAAAAAAAAAAAAAAGCTCTACGCAGAGCAGTGAGACATGTTCGACACAAATCCTGCCAGTTCCTCAAATGAAAGTCTGATGATAATCAGAAAATTGTCAACATCCTATTCAGTGATACTGGCCTGTTTGACGTCCCTGCACAAATAACCCGACCCTGAGGGTTTTTTGGGTACCCCCAAGAATAGTGTATTTTAATTCTCGTAAATATAAGCATCACTTTTAAAATTCGCAACGCTGGGATACTTGCCTTCGGTCCTCATTTTACTTGCTACGAGTAAGATTGCCATTTAAAAGCATTTGGTCAAACCTGCAGCCTAAAGGTGCTCAAATTCAATTGTTCTCCCATACTATGGGAAAGTGGCGATATTGCGATATGCCTGTCACTTTTTTAGTGGGCCTTCTTTCCTGGAAGGAAAGAGACCACTTATGGCCTCATCCTGTCCGTCCGTGTCATACTTTGGTTGTCCGACCATAACTAAAAAAAAATTGGCCTGATCAATGCGAGAATTGGCAAGCTGATAGATATGAACAAGATACAGGCTGAGTTCGTTTTGTGGCGAATTTTCCTCCTCTACGGGGCTCACTAACGTTTAGGCCTAGGCCTAATCAACAGACTGCCTTCAGGTCACGCCAAGGTCTACCTATTTTCTTTCAAAAGAAATTTAATCCTCGACTTACCTATTAGGTCTATAAGGATGAATAGAGGTCTTCGAGGCATCTCGTTGAAGACGTGCAACTTTAGGCCAATCACAGGTCTATTCTTACTTTCACGAACCATTTCAGAGAAGACGTGTAACGTTAGAGCGAATTGAGGCTTGTTCGCGTTTCATGAACAATTTCAGTGCGGACGTGGAACGTTAGGCCCATCTGGAGTTCCTCCAACCATCTCAAATAGGTCTGGGGATGGAATGCCACCAGGAAGCAAGATAACCATGGTGCGCGCCATCCTGTTCATTCAGGGTTGTCCTGATATCTCCATATCCCGCCTCATCGATCAATCACTACTACACCCTTAAAAACGTAACTTTTGCGTGACTTTACTCAGACATTGCTCCCGCATTTAAACGGCATTTTAAAGGTTTCCTGGGGTGCGTAACTTTTGCGGTGATTTGAACATCTCCAAATAAAAGTTAAAAGAAAGTTACCGAGATGTTGTAACCTTCAATTCCTACACTCTTAAATGTGCACCTTTCAGGTGACATTTATTTAGAAGTAACTCTTTAAGGTTAACGGCGTTTAAAAGTTATCAGGGGTTCATAACCTTTATCGTCTTCTGGCTGGACCCATGAATGTAAAAGTTGCTAGAAAGTTACTAGACCGTCGTAATTTTTTTAGAATTGAAGTGCTCCATCTTATAATCGGCAAGTGTCCGTCCGTCTGAAACGTTCTGCGTAGTCTAGCCGAGGTTTGTCTCTGTCTGTCCTGCACGGGTCGACTTTTCCTCACTCTACCCGACGGGCTCGGCTCTCGGCCAGGGCCCGACCCGAAACCCCCCGACATAGCTAAACCTGATACTACGTGAGTAGCACTTGCGGACCGTGTCGGGCAGATCCGACCGACCCGCAAGCCCGCTTATGCCTCTGAGCGGGTTCGGACTAGCCCTGCTGGAGAGAGTTGAGATCCTGCGCATGCGACGCAATCACATCAGGGATGTCCGTTCCACTATTAAAGCACGAGAAGCCCATACCTCCGTCAGTAGGTTGAGGGGCAAAATTGGGACATTGAATTTAGATGGTCAACTGTCTTTGATTAGTTACAGTATATATTAATCGGCAGTGACCGTCCATATGAAACGTTCTGCGAAGGGCGAGGGTTTCCACCTGGGATTTTCAACTTTCTTTCAAAAACTCTCGCTCGTTTTGACATAGGGATCCCGCCTCGAACCTCATCGAAATTCTATCATTTTCGCCTCCCATAACTCGGCGTGCGACGGTCGCAAGGATAAATTGAGAGGAGCACCACCTCCCTCGCTCTCATCTCTGCACATCCTCTTGATGCATCCTTCCAGGAGTGACACCGTACCTATGCGTCCATCCATATCTGCTGACAGATTATCATGCTGCATCGGCATGACATGCCATAGTAAGCCACGGGCTAGAAACGAATTCTGATTTTCCTGATGCTCATGGACATGGTCTGGCGCCAGATGGTAATAATAGTTATGCTTACGTAAAACGTTACAAGCACAGATGAGCACAGAAGAGGTAAGCACAACCGGGGCCAGATGATGCCATTGTAGCCGTTATTGAGAGTCAATAGCGGTTGGAATTGATCTCTATTAGTGTCCACTAGATGCCCGATCTTTCCTCACAGGCAGAGCAAGGGAAGACATTTGAATTATTCACCAAAATTGGTCTCAAGAGGTAACATAGTTTAAGCAGTCTCCGTAAAACTCTGGCATGGGGTTATTAGAAGGATGGTTCAACTACCAAGGTGGCTCCATGAAAAAATTTCGAATGCAGTTGGAAGTTTCCAAATTCCGATTCCATCGCGAATCAGGAAGAGGTTAGAAACTGATTCTTGATAGAAACATCAAGAAGACTTCTTCTGTGCATGGTTTTAAACTGCTCATAAAGCACATACCATCATCCTTCATGGTGGAAAGTAGAAATCCCTAACTCCACAAAAGGTTCATGGAACAAGTGCAATATCTTTAATAAAAGGTTCATTCCACATTCATTACGCGATCCGGTGTTACTTGAACTACAAAGCATTTTATATTCGAAATGTTTAAATGCGACAAAGGCATCAAGGACAACCTTTCAAAGACATGACTTTTGGATAACCTTCACTCTGTTACGTAAGAATTAAAGCCATAAAGTCATGGCGACAGCATTACTTTGCCATCTTATTGCGGCAAAAATTTCCTACTAGTTTTTTTTTTCACAAAAATTTCCAGCTCGTGAGTTACAGTATATCATGACGCAGGTTACCGTATCGTATGCGGCAGCACTTTAGCAGCTCAACCACCGAATTTTAAGCCGTGATGTTTTTTTTTTACACTCAATTTCGTGTATAGCCACCTACAAAATGGCTTCCCTTACGGGAACTCCATATTCAGGTTTCATGCGTGATATCAAATATGGCCATACAGGGGTGCTTTACTCGGAATGTACATGGTACAAATAAAAATTATATGTGGGAGCCTGTATTTGGAAGCCGTCCAGTTCATATAATGTTTTGGCCATTCTTAATGAATATGGAACTGTACATGGTTCATATATAAGCCCTGTATATGGTGCTTAGTTGCAATGTATATGGCACATATAATAATTTGGTATGTTTTGGCTATATTTAATATATTGGAAATATGTAACTATATATTATCATATACAGGTCCCTCTTACGGTTCTTAATTTGCAATATATAGTAGATGGCCCCCGCATGCATTATTAATGACAGATTGAGGCAGAGGCTCAGATGCAGAGTCATTCAGCATCGAAACTCTGACAGATGTATTTGTGACTCACTTCACAAGGGGAACCTCACTCCCTCTTTGCATTGGGCAAGAATTACCTGGAGTCTCCTTAAGCTAGGTTACATCTCTCAATATATGCATAAATTAAAACAACTTCATTCCTTCGGTTTGTACGTGGGAAATTAGCAAGATGAGGATGAAAGCTTTTGCAGAACCATTCATTGGCATTTGGGGAATCGGGAAACATATAGCGGCGAGATAAGCGCAACCTCGCTTATATTGTGAGAACTTTATATTTATTGAACAAACTGCTAGATGCCAGGCCTCAACGTGCAAGCGTGTGCATCCGTGGATATTACATGGACTGAACAGTTTCCAAATATATTCTAAATACAGTATTTTTTCCGTATAGTTTATATTAGTGTCATGTACATTGCAAACCTAGCACCATATATGGGGGTCTGAATATGAACCATATACAGTATAGTTCCATATTTATTAAGAATGGTCAAACCATGATACGGACAGAACTGTTTCCAAGTATGGCTAAATTCAGTACTGTACAATCCTATACATACGTCTGTATTTGGAAGTTCCGTAAGGGTTTTGGCCTGCGTTCTTAAATTTTTACTAGCCCATGATGGGAAAATTCGCTCCTTCAAAGCGATATAGTGTCGTCTGGGATCGTGAACTTTTTTTTAACCCCATGCACCATAATATCTCGCCATGATTCCCATGTTTTGGCAAACAATTAATTGATTTTAAGATTTGACAGAATTTTAATATTTTTTCGAGAATACTGAGGTCATTGTGCTCTTTGTAATGGCAATCTCCTGGTCTCGGTCCAAGGACCAAACTATAAAGGGGGCATACATAAAAGAATAGACATAGTCAAAATCGGTCAAAATTTTCCTCGTTACAAAGCGGGTGATGAATAAGTATGTTGATTCCGTTTAAGATACAGAATCAACCGTATATTATATATGTATCTTGGCTTATCTATTTTGAAAAGTCGTCGGCGAAAAGAAAGATACGAGAAACAAGCCTCAACTTTGAGGCCTCAAAAAAAAAAAACCGAACTCAACGATGTCTCACGTTGGACTATTTGCAGCGGAGTATTACACGGCATTCGACAGCAACGGCGTCTTCATCAGCCCAAAGCATTACCACCACGTGGTGGTGTTCGTGATCGTGGCCGTGAGCGGGTTCGTGGACCTGGCCGTGAGTCGCAAGATCGTCTTCCCGGAGTCCATCTCGAACCTCTTCATGGCGTGCTTCCTATTCTCCTACTGGTGGATCATGGAGATGCATAACGACAACAACATGAGCGAGGGGGTGTTCGCCGTGGCCGTGAGTAGCTCCATAGAGAGAAGAATGCATCGATCGCGCGGAAAATTTACGGCCTGTAGTCTACTATGGGCCAATAGACATTCACGGAGCGAATCCATACTTTTTTTTTTTACGTCTTTTTTCTATTGCAGACAAATTTTTTTGCGATAATGTTAAAACTGAAGTTCAAAATCTTATCTACAGCATGTCACAAAATGACAAATAATTGAAATTCCCTCCCAAGACTCAAACAAGAAGCTAAAAGCATCCTCCGGTTCCTTCAGATGCACATTGGAACGGGAGAGGACCTGCTGCTGATGGCAATCGCCGTCATTCTGGAGGTGCTGCACCCTCAGAGCCTGACGATCGCCCTCCTCCGACCCATCATCGCATTGCACCAGGCCGCGCTGTTCTGGACCATGACATGCACGCTCTACGCGCCCTGCCTCAACTGGGATGACAGGCACATCTCGATCTATTATGGCTCCTACATCGGGTGGTTCGTGGTGGTGACCACCCTCGTCTTGGCCGGCGTTATATGGGTCAACCGAACTTTGCGCTATGCTCTATGGTAAGGCTTTTAGGCTTTTCAATGGAACTGTTGCTTGCATTAGAAAAGAAAGATTCACTTGGAATTTATTCGTTTTTTTCCCGATAGCCTGAGTGAAAAAATACGTACGTCGCACGTGAATGCCTTCAGTGCCACAAAGTCTGACTATCATTATTCAGAAGTGAATCCCGGACCTGCTACAACGACAAACCTCTAGTGATTTTGCCCACAATATTCCTAGACTTGGCTGTTTGTTTCTTCATGTTTTACCTCATTCTTGTCTGGGTGAGGTTTCGAGAGATCCACCAGTACAACTCCTGTCTTCTTTGTCTGTGAAGCAACTATCTGAACTTTTCTCCAATTTGTTTGCGAATATACATATTGTCACGGTAAGAGAATAAAAAACATGCGACCCCGCGTGGGATGATCGACCCCTGACCTTCAGTTACAGTCCCCGCCACTAGGTGTCACTAGTGAGCCCAGGTGTTAGCTATTCAGGATATGTAGTGGATTAAAATATATGCGCTGGTCCCGATGTAATAGTTACATAGAATTATTTTTAGAGCCATATGCATATGTAAGGAAGTACGGCATGCCTTCCAACCCAACATGCTGAGGAGTCACCAGCAAGAACGAGCAGGCCGCTCGTTCTTGCTGGTGACTCCTCATCACGGCCGTTCGCAAGCCGGCCCCAGGAAGGACTCCCGCTGAATAGCTCCCTCCCGGTGATTTACAACGCCTGTCTCCGCCTAGGACACGTCCCGCTCAGGTGGAAGTCCGCAATAATAACTATGATCCCTAAGCCCGATAAGGACCTTTCCGACCCTTCTTCCTTTCGTCCTATTAGCCTTCTCAGCTGTCTCCAAAAACTATTAGAAAGGATTCTTACCTCTCGCCTCAATGATTACCTAGAAACAAATAATTTACTCTCTCCCTCTCAATCGGGCTTTCGTAAGAATCTTTGTACAACTGACCAGCTCGTTCGTCTCCACCACGATGTGTTGGTGGCTGTCCACAGTAAAATGAATCTCTTGGCTCTTTTCTTTGACGTGACAAAAGCTTTCGATAAGGTCTGGCATGCAGGGCTAATCTTTAAACTTTTCTTTCACTTTAAAATCCCCCTGCAGCTTCTTTAGAAAGGATTCTTACCTCTCGCCTCAATGATTACCTGGAAACAAATAATTTACTCTCTCCCTCTCAATCGGGCTTTCGTAAGAATCTTTGTACAACTGACCAGCTCGTTCGTCTCCACCACGATGCGTTGGTGGCTGTCCACAGTAAAATGCATCTCTTGGCTCTTTTCTTCGACGTGACTGAAGCTTTCGATAAGGTCTGGCATGCAGGGCTAATCTTTAAACTTTTCTTTCACTTTAAAATCCCCTTGCAGCTTCTCAGATGGACAGCCTCTTATCTGACCGAGAGATCATTCAGGGTAAGGGTCGGGAACTCTTTCTCCGAGACCCGCTCTCCCACCGCGGGGGTTCCGCAGGGCTCAGTAATAGCACCCCTTCTTTTCATTCTCTACGTAAACGACCTCTCGAGCTCTATCCCTCGCAAACTTAATGTCTGTACGAGCCAATACGCGGACGATACCGCCCTGTGGCTCTCTCACCGCGGGGGTTCCGCAGGGCTCAGTAATAGCACCCCTTATTTTCATTCTCTACGTAAACGACCTCTCGAGCTCTATCCCTCGTAAACTTAATGTTTGTACGAGCCAATACGCGGACGATACCGCCCTGTGGCTCTCGGGCAGAGACGTCACTGCTCTGGAGTCGCGAGCCCAAGCGGCGCTTAACGCTCTCTCTTACTACTGTCGCAACTGGCGTATAAGTATGAATCCCTCCAAATCCTCCCTCCTCTTGTTTGCACGCGACAGGAAACCTCACTCCGTAAACGTTTGTTCGGACGGTGTGCTCATCCCCCGCTCGCGGTTCACCCGTTTTCTTGGTGTTAAGTTTGACCGTAATCTTAGATGGAACGAACACGTTAACGTGATTCGCACCAAGTCGATCAGAAAGCTTAACTGCTTGAAGATTTGGCCGGGGTTAACAAATGCGAGCCTAACGTAATTTTGAAGTTATATGCAACGTACCTCCGCCCGGTCTTAACGTACGCGTTCGCTGCTTGGGCAAACTGCCCAGAGACAGTCCTCGACCGACTAGAACGCATCGAATAATCTCTTAACCTCTTGAACAAGTGGACCTAAAGTTAACCAGCTCCGACTCACTAACCTATTAATGTATATATGTTGATTCTCAGTAAAAGGCCGCTCTGTCTTTGGATGTATCTAAAATGTAAAAGCTAAAACCTGAAAACGGGAGGGATTCAGGCGCGAAGACGGATCTGGTTTCCAGACACATCGACGCACTTTAGCCATGGGACACCTTCCCATGGCTACGACACCAGCTCCACCAGGGTCTTGCACTCTGCCAGCCCTCGTGTTGGGAGGATCTCACCATGGTGGGCGGGAGTCATGTGTTGGTCCACCACATGCGGGGGCCCACCATACATTTAGCTCCTATTTTTATAATAATAAAAAATAAATAAATCCCTCCCGCTGAGATCCTGTACTTGAAAGAGAGGCTCGACCTAAGCCCTGCCGAGTACGGTCAGAACATTCTCTGCGACGGCCCGGCTAGACCGCACCCCGGGAAAGAAGAGCAGGCATCCTCCGTGGGACGCAACCGCTTATCCCCCCTCTCTACCGCAGCAGACCTTAGGAGCATCCACGACGGTTGAGTGGGACCCCCCGAGGAAAAAGACCCCGAGCGACGCCGGCCCCCGGACACCAGGACTCCACAGCGCCTTCGGATCCGGAAGAACTGGTCTTGATAGTGGATGAGTAGAGGAAAATAAAAACACCTGTTTTGTTGTCACCGTATCCCCTTGTGATCTTATTTCCACCCAGACCCCACAACGGACTACGACACGAAAAAGTCGTATCGTAACAATATATATTCATTGAAATAGTCAGTAGATGCAGGCGTGCACATCCAAATTTCTGCCGTGACCGTCGAGGGGCCGAATGGGAACTTTCTTTCTCGTCGAGGTTCGACGAGAGGACGAATGACGAAATTCGAGACAACGAATTCTGCCTTGCTTGACTGAACTGAGATGAAATGTTTAGAATCCAAAATGCGTGGAAAAGAACACGAAGACCAAGAAATTACAAGGCACAGACCCCACAGAGCCTGCGAAATGGCTGTGGGATTGAAGGTCACTGCCGGCTACTCGATTCCTCCCTTTTCGCTCGTCTTGTGTCTCGGATGATCAGATCAGATCAGGTCAGATCCTCGGACAAATTTGGCACTGCACAGGAGCGCACGGGGTTTCGGTCGCCTACTCGCCTCCACGGCACTGATATTCTTATGAGGCCCTGACCCTCTGGCTCTTACCTCACCCGGCATCTCCCCCCTCCCCCCCGTCCATCATCATTTAACAGCAATGGCACTGAGATCCCCTTTCGAAAATCTGTAGGCGACTCCGACGTGATTTACCGCTAATGATTATCACGAAGAGATCGCCAGCGTGTTCGAGGTTTATAATGACTCTGTGGACTCCTTAAATATACAATTACTTTATTGTGACAACCAGCTTGGAAAGAGGTCAATAATAAGGAGAACCAGAAAATGGATATGGGATGAAAATTCAAAATGTTGTTCCCTTAAATGCTTATTAGGCAATATATACTCAACGAGCAATACCTAAATGAAATCCAAAGTGGTATGGGTGGGATGACAGACAGCATACGATCTCCAGCCCTAACGTCAAGGGTCCACTCAATATCCCGCGTCTTCTCTAAGGCTTCTCCGCACTATCCTCCAATTCAACTCCTTGTCCGACACACTCACTTGCCACACCCCGACCCCGCGACTCTCCCGCGAGACCCTTTTATTCCGTCATGCCGGACATGCGCATCATCTTTTACGGTGATTTCATCATCTTTATAAAAGTACCTCCTACAAATCCTGCGCACGGCACTACTTAGAGGTATTTATTCTACTCATCCATATGGAATAAGAACATGAGGACAAGAGCGGAAGATGATCTGAGTGCATGTGGCAAATTCCATAGATGCGAGAATAACGAATGAGCTTCGAATCTGCTCAACCGACTGAACCTTCAATCTCTAGCTTCCTGAATGATGACGAAAAGGCGCTGGCATTTGCACCTCTTTGGCCGGAAAATTTTCCGTTTCGCTACTAGTTTCGATGGGCGTGCACTTACGAGCGTACACTGTTAGCAGAAAGGGTTCAGAGTTTAACCTAGGCGAAGGATAAATCATAAAAAACGGTAAGATATTTGTGAATAACCATTTGAAAGGGTTAATTGGATGCTCCTTTTAAAGGCGATGAATTCTTTATAACCTTTTCGAGCGAAAGGGTTAAACATTTAACCAGGAGAGTTTTATAAATCTTGTTAGTGGATAAATGAATATCAATGAGAACAGGTATACATATTTATTCCTTTTGAGGTTAAATATGTGAAACACTGAAAGGGGAAATGGTATTTCGAGAAAAAATAAATCGTTTCTCCAGCTCAAAAGGATAAAGGTAATATTTACGCGATCGCCTTTATTTTTTAGAAGCAAGGGAAAGTAGTGCATGTGCAAGGTGGGCCATATGTATCAGGTTGTTGGACTATCATTCATCTGGTACGTTCGTATGCTCTAAAAGACATGGGATTCAAGTGGACTTTAATCATAATCATAAAATGCGTCAAAATTAATAAAATGAGCACTTCATGTAGAAAAAGAAAAGATTTCTATCACGAAAGGTGACCATACACTCTTAGAAAATTCCGAGCGTTTGGGGAGTAAAAAGTGAGCACACTCGTGAACTTCGTTCAATCACACCTCAGTTAAATGAGGTTATAAGGGACTAATATCTCACACACTCCGCGGAACCTGTAAGAGGTGGTCCACCATCTGACGTGTGCTGTATTCAGTACAGGCAGAGGTAGGTCAACGCCTGTACGAGAACGAAACGGCACACTCTATATTTGAGAACTTTCGTATTTGCATGGCATCCCTATCACTTTTTGATGGGAGAGTTTTTACTCACAGAGGAGAGCAACTTTACTCCCTGGTAGTAGAATAAATTCGCTCCTTTCCCAGAGTGAAAGGGGGGTGAAACTGGAGTTAGCTATTTTACTCTCTTTTTAGAGAAAAATCGCTCCCCTTTTTCTAAGAGTGTACACATCAAACTCTGCACGGGATTGGGATTGGGAGCCTAGGGTTGGGTCCCCGCCTCCAGGAGGGTTGGAACCTCCTCTTGGTCATGCGACGTGGGGTACTGCCCTTTACCCAGCTTTTGCGGATGAAACCGCTACTCCCGCCCTCTCCTTCAGGATATCTTGTATAGTAGATTCGTGCAATTTTCTGTCTCTGCAATCAGTCCCCAATTCTTGTTAAATTCTTCAGAGTTCCTTTGTTGGACACAGACGTTTGGAAGGATTGCATAATTCGCTTCCGGAGACATGGACTCATGACCCACCCCGACGATGAACCAGTTTCTGACTTTCGTAAAATCCTCGAATGAATGAAAAAAGAACCTCTGCATGAGACCAATTATCAACTATCTCGGGAAATTACTCAAATAGACCATCAAGAAAATGAATAACTGCATCCTTTTTGAGGCTGCATGTTTATTCCCAAAGAGGTAGTTCTTATAGAAATCGGATGTTACCGACCAGAGTTCAGGTTTTAACATTTTCATGGTTAAACAGGATAAAATGTGCAGATGACGGTGAAACACCATTTGCAAGGGTTATTTGTTTGATGTAAAATTCCCTTTTGACTACTAGATGGGGTTACAGTGCTACTGTTTCCCACAGTTTCAAATCCTTCCCTCTTTCCCGGGAATCTCCCTCAAAGGTATGCTATGTCGCCTCGTCCTGCGTTTCGCTTTCCCTCATTATAGGAAGTAATAAACACAGACACTTCCTCATTCATTATTCTCATATTCGAGACAGATCCTGGAACTTTGATCAAGAGAAGCTTGTCTCACAAACAGCAGCCCGTATATATTTTCTTCATCTCCATGGAAAATTTGAATACAAGAAACCATATGTCCTCACGTCCTTCCCGAACTTGTTCGTCCTGACGACTGGATAATGTAGTTGGGGGGTGACGTCAGGGGCACTCATTGAGGTTAGAGGAAAGCCTCCCACCTTCCTGATTACATGCATGCTCAAAAGGTTAAATACTTATCCACGACGGTTAATTATAAAAAGATATTTAATTTAAAATATAAAAAAGGATAAATATGTAAACCACAAAGGATAAATATGAGTTGCAGTTGAAACACCCTTTAAGAGATAAAAGCTGAACCATTTTTGCTAACAGTGTACGGTTGGAGCGCACCTAATGCCTCTCGTTTGACTTGCGCCGATCCATCTTTCATTCTTTATTTTTCAATAGATGAAGCGTTCAGAGGCAGGTCCGAGAGCAGTCCACATTGGGTGGGATTCATAAACCGACATTATCTCTAATTGGGACTTAAAATGACGTCACATGACCTTCACTCATTCACAAGCGACCGCTTATCGGTTCCCAGGAACGCCTCTCATCTCGTCCTGTAAAATTGAAACGTCTGCGGCTTGACACGATAGGTGCACGAAGTCAAGAGGTCAAAGGTCACTCTGTGCAGAGAATTAAATGAGTCACGAGCCTTCCATATGGCAGTCACTCATACGAACAAGGTTGTCGCAATCGTCGTTAGATGGCATCTGAAACACATCCGTGCATGTGCTTCTGAAGGGGTCTGCTTTCGGCTCATAGGATATCACGAGTTCTCTTACATTCAAATAAATGGCGAAAAGTACTCGATCCGTCAGTCTGGACCTCGTGCACTGATCGGGTCAAGCTCGAAAACATTTATATTCTATGGGTCTATCTAATGATAAAGATGACATCACTGGACGCGAATGGACACGCTGCCGTTTGGTTTTGGGCGTACTCATTTGGAAGACATCTCTTCTCATCATCGGGAAATTAATCAATATTCAAACAATGAAGTACTGTAGAGTCGAACTCGGTTATAACGTCATCGAAGGGACCAGGTAAAAACCGTCGTTATAACCGAGGTTCGTTATATCCGAGGTGGCCTTTATTGGCACTTCGTTTTCCTGTTTTCAAAATTGATGTTAGTATAACGTTACAACTCTAGTTTAGAAATTCGTTGACGTTTTACTTGCCATCTCTTCGCTATATTTACTGCCAATACTAAGCCAGAATAAATTACATATTGCATAATTTCGTGTGCATAAAATAAAAAAGCCACTAGGGTCAATGTCAGACAGCGATCCGGAAAACCTTTTCGGAAGCAATAAAAAACGCGGATTAAATGAGCGCAACCTGCGTTGCGACTTTTTGAACTGCTCGCAAGAATAGAAATCCGCATTAAAAACAAGTGGGTTTCAATTCGATTTTGGGTCGGGCATGAACTGGATCGGTAAAAATAGAGCGAACACATACTGACAGCGCGAAAGATGCAAGGAGATTATCTCGATCATCATGACAGTTATTAGGTTGATTATAGTATCCAGTTAAGTACTGTCACCCCACGAAGGGATCCATCCGGAGGACCAAGGAAGGATCTCCAGGTGGGATAGTACCACTCTATCGAGTACTAACATACCGGAGGAATCCCGCTGAGGTCGTAATTCCTTTCTTGGATCAGTATTCGAGTCGTGTACTTCAGTGCCGTAACTGTTCCTGTTCAGCAGAGGAAGTACATGTCTAGTTTCATTCCCAGATTTTAGAGAGTATATATTTTCCTATGCATAGATTTCATAGGTTCAAATATTTGGACTAATATATATGGTAGTGATTTCATTTGTTTTGTAAGTGCTGCATCAGAATGTAAAGTGAACGTGCATTTTTTTGCATTTCTGTAGTTGGTCAGATTTGTCAAATATATCCTCTTCTGTCCCAGTTTCCTTAGTTTGGTGATTTTGAATTTTTATATTTCATTCAACTTACATTAATTTGAATGGAAAACCCAGATTTTGATTAGTCACATAAAGGAGAGCAAACGAAATACTGGCAAGGAATTCCAAGAGACTCTTCAAAGTGGTGTAGATGATATTTAAAAGAGAACCCTTTTTTTTAAATGCTGATGGCTATAGAGTATCGGGACTTCTATATACGTAGTATGTCTCGTATCATAAGAGTAAATATTTCTTTTTATGTAATGGATGTTGAAAGTGAAAATCAAATTCACATTTATTGCACAAAAAGATAATGTTTTTATATCACATGTAATTTGAAATGCTGCTTGGGTGGCAACCTTGTTATTTCCTGACCTAA